ATTTTATTTTAAATAACTTTGTTGTCATGGTTTCTTTATTCTATTATTTGTCTATATGTGTATTATTACAAAGTTAATTCATATAAAAGCAATAATACTATAAATGTAATTGAATTCATAATATAAATTTCAATGATATATTATTATATATTAATATAAAATAAAGAGTCAGTTACTGACCGGTGAGGACGCTCTGAATCAGATCTTCAGTCTTTGCCGCTGGTTTGGTTGAGCCTGAATCATAATGGGATAAGATCTCATCAGATAAGATTCATGCATATCCAATAATACTCCTCATTTTTCTCTCCTGTCTTGTGGACGCTAGATTCGGATTAGTAGTGCACAGTACAGATTAATAGTTCAGTATCGAACCTGCATCAGATGAGATGATGTTGTGTGAGGTGTGTGAAGCTCTGACCTGTGGACTGTGGCTGTGTGCTGATCTGGGACACGGGTTTAGGAGCGGCGCTGCTGGGTGTGTGACTCAGTCCGTTCTCAACCGGGACGGGCTTGGGTTCGCTTTTAACCTCCGAAGGGTTTTCAACACCAGGATCCGCCTGAAGAACAAGGAACTTCATCATCAAAACCTCCACTACTATTCAAACTCTCACAGACTGCTTCATTACTAATTCATTACAATGACTTCTTTCATAAGCAGATGAATTCATTAGTAATGAGTAATGTGATTAGAGTTCAGATGGAGCAATTAGTGCAAGTGCAATCTGATCTACTATGTGATGGTCACGCGTACTCCGTCTGAGCACTTCAGCTCTTGGGGATCTGCTGGTGTCTGAGGTGTCTGTACCTCTTTGGTTTCTTTCTCCTCTTCTCCTTCCTCTAAAGTGAGCGCCGCCAGCTGTTTGGATCTCTGCTCCATCAGGTTGACGTATCTGATGGGGTTGGACAGCGCTTCGATGACATCTGATCAGCACAGAAACACACCGCAAACTCACAACACACTCCAGTCCTGCAGCTTTCAATCAGTTTCAATTATAACATTTTTCACAAAATCTTTCAAAAAAAAAAAAAAAAAACATCCAAAATAAAAGACAAAGAAATTCAAAAATATTCTATTTGATTTTATATAACATTGGCATTTTAGTTTACTTAACAGTTAACAATAATCAATTTTTAGTTAACAATTTTAACTTTCTCACAATATTTTGCAACTTCAAAAACATCCGAAATAATAGTCAAAAAAATTCAAAAAAATTATATTTTTAGCATTTTAGTTTACTTAACAATTAACAATAATAAATTTTTGTTAACAATTGTAACTTTCTCACAATATTTTGCAACTTCAAAAACATCCGAAATTCAAAAATATTCTATTTGATTTTATATAACATTGGCATTTTAGTTTACTTAACAATGAACAATTTTTAGTTAACAATTATAACTTTCTCACAATATTGTGCAACTTCAAAAACATCCGAAATAATAGTCAAAGAAAATTTAAAAATATTATATTTGATTTTATATATGACATCAGCATTTTAGTTAACAATTATCATTTTTCTACAATATTTTGCAACTTCAAAACTATTTAAAAACATCCAAAATAATAGCCCAAAATATTCAAAAATATTATATTCGATTTTATATATGTTATTCATTTCATTTTAATTTAGTTGACAATTAACAGCTTTTTTTAGTTAACAATTATAACCTTTTCACAATATTTTGCAACTTCAAAACCTTTCACAAAACATCCAAAATAATTGGAAAATAATTATATTTGATTTTATATATGACATTAGCACTTTAGTTTAGTTAACAATTAAAAAAATAACCGTTTTAGTTAACAGTTATAACATTTTTTTTTTTTTTTTTACAATATTTATTCTTCAAACCTTTCAAAAAATAATAATACTGCCCAATAGATAAAACCCAAATAAATACAAAAATATTTGATTTGATTTTATATATGACATTAGCATTTTAGTTTAGTTAACAATTAACATTTTTGGTAAACAATTATACATTTTCACAATAGTTTGTAATTTCAAAACCTTTCAAAAAAACACCTAAAATAATGGTCCAAGAAATTCAAAAATATTATATTTGATTTTATATATGACATTAGCATTTTAGTTTAATTAACAATTCAAAAATACCTGTTTTTAGTTAACAGTTATAATTTTTTTTTTTTTTTTTTACAATATTTTGCAACTTCAAAACCTTAAAAAAATAAGAAAACCTCCAAAATAATAGCCCAAAGTATTCAAAGATATTACATTTGATGTTATATATGACATAGTTTGTTTTGTTATTTAACAAATAACAGTCTTTAGTTAACAATTATAACTTTTTCACAATATTTCGTAACTTTTATATGACGTAAGCAATGGTTTGCCCCTTTTAAAGGCTTTTTTCTTATAGTGACATTTTGCTCATACAAGCGTAATATCTGAAGATTCATAACAGTTGGAAACCCTCAATGAAGAGGGCTTTTTTTTTTTCTTTTTGGCATTTTATGGGTCAGTTCATCTTTTAAAAAGGCCAGAAATCATCTTCATTTACATAAAGAATGTGTTATATTCAACATTTTCATAATAAAGAGCCAATAAAGTCCAAAACTATTATCAATAACTTTGATCACATTTACATAAGATAAAACTTCTGACATGTTGGGTCTGTATCACTGGTGATAAAATATTCAAATACATATTTGCATATTGAATGAATGATGCCTCATTTCTAGAAGTTTTCATAAGTGAAGTCACGTTGTTTCATGCGGTTTTAATAAAGCAAAGTTTGTGTTTTAATTAAAGAAAGGGAAAGTTTCTGCTGAGGAGGGCAGTGCTGTCCTTCCTCGGTGGTCTAACACCTTTTAACTAAACAGGTGCATTCTGGGTACTGGAGACGTCGATCTGTCCCACAATCCCTCGTCTCATAGTTTCGGGATGCAAATGAGGACCGACGAGAGCCGCTGGGATACAGATGGAAACGCTCCTCACAAAAACACTGTGGTGTCAAGTCATAATTCACACCAAAATAAGTATGTGTCACATGTAAATAATGCAAAGAAGCCTGACGGTTGATTTTCTTATTATGATCCAGACAGTTTGTGAGATGCACTCATATTTACCCTGGTATTCACACGGTACTCTGAGGTTATTTCACAGGACTCCACAGTAATACTATGGTACTTCTAGTGTTTTCTGACAGTGGCAGAGAAAGTTTCAGAGAGTAATGAGTTTCATACCGGCGAATGTATCGGGAACGTAGTCCTTCACCTCGATATTCACAAATATAGCGGGAAGAGTTAGAGCTTGATTCTTTTCATTTCTCAAACCGATGTAACGATAACCTGTGAGAATGTGACAAAATTATGTTTTAATAAAAGGAAAAGGTTGAACTATATCTGCATTTCATGTCACAAAACGTCTTATAATAATGCAATGCAATACAATAAAATACAATACAATGCTATTTTTATGTTGCAAAGTAATAATACAAAATTATCATTAATATACTAAAATAATCTAACTCTAATCTAAATTAAAATGATAAAAAAAAAAAAAAACATAAAATCAAAATGTAAACTGAAAATATATTTTATTTCCCCCTCACAATACAATACAATAAAAGAAAAATAAATTACAACTATATCTACATCCTCATGTTGTCAGATGTATTATTATTATTATTATTCAAATATTAAAACAATCTAAAATAACACTAAATTAAATGCTAAACTAACACATAAAATCAAAACAAACTGAAATAATTTTTTATATCCTCCTTCACAACACAATACAATAAAAGAAAAAAACTATATCTGCATTATAGTACATAAAATAAAAATGTAGCAACCTTCAATTCTTGAATCACAATAGATCGCAGTTAATCGATTTTATATATGGATACTCCCAGATTCTGGTAATAAATGAAGTTTGTGTCATATTTTAGCCTATGTGGAGAAGGTTTTGAATACTGTGTTCAACTTCTAAGTCATAAAGGTCGAACAGCCCTGGTTTAGTCAGTATAAATGAAACGCCGGTTTGTTGTCGTCAGTGTTGAGGAGAGTTACTTTTAAAAGTAATGCATTACAATATTGCGTTACTTCCTAAAAAGGTAAATAATTACGTTACTTAGTTACTTTTTATTGAAAGTAATGCGTTACGTTACTTTTGCGTTACGTTTTAAATCTGGGCTGGGCTTGCTTGTTTGCTTTTAATATAAAACGTTCTATTTTTGGCAAATATAAAAGCCTTTTCACAAAAACAAAAGCCTCAGGCTGATTCAGTAGAACGCAGAAGAAGAAAGTTCAACACTCTTCAGCAATAAAAAAAGAAGAAGAAATGTTAGTTTATCTTGTGTAATTTCTGCTTATTAGTATGGTTGGATCATCGAAGGTCAGCAGCAAATTGGTTAACAAAATGGGATTAAATGCACAAAGGATATTTGTATTATTTAACATATTTAATTAATGCAGCTTTGCGTCAAATTCTGAGTTGCTTTTAACTGTTTTTATT